CAGCAGTCTGTTTCCATCTTATGCATTTACCATATTTGCCGGCTTACAAGGCGAGGAGGAGGAGGAGGAGGAAGAGGGGAAATGGGCGGGTGGTGGGCGAGCAAGCCCAAATGAAGTGCACCCGGCGTACAAGATGACCCCCCCCCCGGAGGCATGTTTTTGGGCCCAAAAAGTCGTCTTGTACGCCGGCAAATACGGTACCCAAGTTAACAAAAATAGTAAGCGGTCCTTAAAGGCTAAATTTACATTTATTGTATGGTTTGCTAAAGCAAATGGACTTCCACCAGCTAGTCTGTAAACAAGGAATGATTGCCAATTTCCTCCTCTCTTTTTGTCTCTCACCTTGTTTGGGGGGGGGAAGAATTCCTAGGTGTGGTAGTGCACCAACATTAGTATCAAGAACAGTGGTGCCTTGACTTACGAATTTAATCCATAAGTTGGAACGGTGGTCGTAAGTCAAAACGTCCGTAAGTCAAAGCACCATTTCTTATAGGAATGCATTGAAAACCAATTAAACTGTTCCAGCCGAAGAAAAAAATACAAAAAAAAAATTCAAATAAAACACTGCAAGTCCCATGCTAGGACTACCAAAAAAAAAAAAATATCAACAATACAGAAATGTAAACCCCCCAGCTCAAATCTACCCTCCAAAACCCACTCAGAACAACTTTTTTAAAAGGAAAAAGTAGCACCTTACCAGTCCGAAGCCTCTGTGGAGGCTTCCCAGGCTTCCAAAGCATCGGCACCTGGCCACTTCTCCTTCCTCCTCTTGTGCTGCTGCTGCATGCCCCATCGACAGAGCCCCCCCCGACCTGCGCCCCACCCAGGGACTTTGGCAGCCCTTACTCCTGAGTAGACCCGTGCCTTCCATGGCACTTACTCCCGAGTAGACCCGCGCCAGGGATGGGCAGGGCGCACACCGGTTTCCCGCACCTGGCAGCAATCCGGAGCGGCCCCACCTCTCCTTCCTCCTCCTGCTCAGCGAAAGTAAAAAGGTTCCCTGACCCCCTCCTCTAACCGTTGGGGCAAAAGAGCTACAAAGAAGCAGCCTCTTTGCCACCATCAGTTTGAATTTCCCACCTTTTTTCCCTGTCTTTTTCTGTTCGTAAGTCAAAGCTCTGGCCGCAAGTCAAAGCAAAATTTTGTGGCCAGAGCTGTTCATAAGTCAAATTGTTTGTAGGTCAGGGCGTTTGTAAGTCAAGGCACCACTGTATTTTTTTTTTTAAAAAAAAACCTATTTGGAGACAAGTAATACTTGGTTGTAGGGAACTGACACCCCCATGTGCATTCTTTGTCTCCAAACAGAAATGCATTCAACAAAAAAGTAGACGTCCCAGTGGCCAATGTGGAGGGACTCTGAGCCGATTCACATTGGCTTGTATGCCACGTAATCAATGGAAAATAAAATGAATCTGACTGTTTCAGTCCTGGAGTATTTCCCATATTATTTGCCAGTGTGGGTTGCCCCCTAGCTTGCCTTCCTTCAGCTGTTAATTAGCTATTTTTATTTTACACACTTTCCAGAACAAATGCAAAGCCGAATTACTGAAGAAACTAGAGCAGCAGAAATTGATTGAAGCAGAGAAGAAGCGGGTGGCACAGATACGTCAACAGCAGCTGGAAACAGAACAGTTTCAGTTCTTTGAAGATCAACTGAAGAAGCAAGAAATAGCCCGTGACCAGAAAATTAAGGATAGCTCAGTTACTTCTGAGCAGACTGATGGGGGCATGTTGTCGTCGTGCATTTCGGCACATGTGAACAATAGTTTCCCCACAACTATCGCAAATAAGAGCGGAGCCTCTGCTGGGCAGTCGCCTCCTATAAGTCGAGCCTTAAAACCTGCTGCTACACTGAGTGCTGTTCAGAGTAAGTCAAGCACCTTCTTGTTTTCTTCCCTGGCTGTTGCAGTCTTGGTGCCACCCTGGGCTACGGAGATGGGACTTTTGATTTTTGTTTTTACTACAGATCCAATAATTCTCCATTCTGGGAGTTCTGTATGACACCTTACGGGCACCTAAATATGGCTCACCTGGAAGAAAGACCTAAACTGGAAGGTTTTGAAGCCTAGCTTGATGTAGCTCCAATTAGCTTTCCTTTTTCAGAAATAAAGCACCCAGCTAGTAGCAGGACAGGAATAGGGAACTTGGGCAAAGCTAAGCTAACTAGGCTTCAAGGCCTTCCTGGTAGGACATAAATTGTTCATAGCAATAATTTTTTTAAGTACCTGTTATATCCCTGTTAACAGCTGTAGCCAAGAAAGACTTCGATATGCGTGAGTGCATGGTATTACGTGGAAGTGGATGAGGAGGCTGATGGGGAGAAATAGACCGATTACTCTCTGTTCCTCTTCCACCGGCCTTCTGAGTTTCTGTGCTAGCTCTGAAAGAAATACTTGTTCCACAGCCTGCATGAAAATCCAGCAGTTTGGCTTGAGGGAAATGGATTACTTTGTCCTTCCTCCTGCAATCCTCGTAATAGAGCAAAATTTCTTTTACCAGCTTGCTAATAAGCCAATGAAGTGCCTTTACGTGCTGGCTTCATTATGAAATCCAGCCTACTTGTCTCTTAGTGTATTTTACAAGGAACTTCATTTTGCAAGGCTTGTGTACTTAATTTTGAAAGGCTTTTTGCAGAAATATCAGCTTCCGCTAGTGACATGGAAGCAAACCAAGCCGTTTGCCATGATCAGAGAGCAGTTGACATAGGGGGTGCGGGTGGGGGTATGAAGGAAAACAGTGAAAGGCTTTTTGCAGAAATATCAGCTTCCACTAGTGACATGATACGAGGAAGACCGTCACATGTAGGGGGCATTCTGTCTCTGTGACTGTTGATTTTGAGAAGCAGCCCATCCATGGAAAAGGCACAAATGCAATTGATTGCTTTTAAAAATTGTGCTGCTCGGCCTCATTGAATGTCGTGTAGATGATGCTTTTGCTCTCTCTTTGCTAGGTGATGCAGCTGAAGGGCTACGGTGCGTGGTACTGCCCAGGGGTCTTTGTCCCAAATTTCTGCTGCTAGCAGAGGCAAATACAGTAAGAGGAATAGAGACATGTGGGATTCTCTGTGGAAAACTGGTACAGTTGAACCTTCACATTTGTATGGGGAAGGCTCTTTTGATAGTACTGTATTACCCTGTAATGAACTGATTTGAGAACAAAAGCAGATCTAAAGTGTAAGTGTGCTGTCTCACTGACTATATCAAATAGCTTTATGACTCTGTTCAGACCTTCTTAATGATTTGTTTGTGGTTGACTGTGTGCTCCCTTCACACACCCAGAAATAGTTATTTCAGGCAACGGAAAGCATGTGATGTAATTAAGTCATGGTCTTCCTGTGCAATTAGCTACAATTAAAGGATTCCTCAGGCATTTTTTGTTTTGTTTTATTATCAAACACCAAGCAGATTTTTTATTATCAGCCACCAGTGTTACAGGGAAACTGATAGTAAAGATTGGGGAAGCTAATGACAGGGTATAACAGATTCATTTTCTCCTTTCTGTAGGGAAAATAGTCCTCTTGCAAAAAATCACTTCAGCATTGTTGCTTAGAGTTTGCTAGTACCTCAGTAAAGTATGGTGCTGTCTATTGTTCTCTTCACAGCAATAGTTCACTGTAAAACTTGGCTGATACATGAACTGCTTGGCCTGGTACACATATATTAAATACATATCTTCTGGCTAACAAGATAAAAATGATGTATTGTCCAACCCAGTCCTTTGTACGTGTACTAAAAAGTAAATTCTACTTAGTTCTGGAAACTAAGACTAAGATGATATACTTCTTTTTAAAATAGTGGACTTGATTTGTTACTGAGTTTTGTATTTGTATCATGTATTTGTTCGTAGAAAATCAAAGGTTTAATGTATAGAATCTGCACGCAAGTCTGTAGTGTAGACAATATTCCTACAGAACCAAATGGACCAATGGAGGCCTCTTATGTTTATTAATTCCGCACCCTACACAGTTCATATGTAATCTTTTTACATGCAGTACTGGTATTATTTCTGTTATCTCTGTTTTGTCTGTTGCTGTGCTAAACCTTAGTGTCCAAGCATCTGTTGCTTTAAATTGAAATCAGTGGTCTGGTGCTACTTATCTTGGCACTTTTGTTATTTTACAGACTCACAACGAATTCACTATTACTCATGTGATAGTGCCAAAACAGTCTGCAGGGCCAGACTACTGTGACATGGAAAATGTGGAAGAGTTGTTCAGTGTTCAAGACCAACATGATCTCCTTACACTGGGCTGGATCCACGTATGTATTCACAATGGTGCTAGGGAAAACCATCAATACGCATTCCATAGAAGAGGGGTAGGGAACCTTTCAAGGGCAGCGTTTCCCTTTGGCTCACTGGCCTTCTGGAGGGCTGTTGCATGCGAATGGCCAGTAGCAAGAATTTGAACATTGGGACAATGACTCTCCTCCCCCCTCACATTATGTGAAGTCAACTAAAATTGTCTTAAAGTTTGAAACACTGTTCAGTGAAAATCTGCAGCTGCTTTTAAAAGGCAGATTGCATACTGGGCATAATTAGACAAAGGAAACAAAACAAAAGTGACCATATTATACTTCGATTACACCTGAAATGCTATGTACGTTTTTACATTCTCTGTATATTTCTGTTCACTGCCTCCTCAAAAGGATATTGTAGCAGTGTATGTATATTACGTGCCATCAGGTCAAAACTGACTTATAGCAGCCTTGATAGGGCTTTCAAGATTCATGAGATATTTAAGGAGTGGCTTTACCACTTCTGTCCCACTTCCACAAGTTTTCATTGAATGCTGCTAGTTAATCTTACTTACTGTCCGGATAAGCAAAGCCTCCAACCAGCAGGCGGAACTCTTCCATATAGTCCGCGATCTATCCGGATTTGGTCAGAGTGATTGGCCTCCCACTAGCATCTCACCTGACCAATTTGCAGCCTTTTTAAAATCGAAAGTGGAGACCATCCGCTGGGATCATACCCCCTATTTGAAAACAGTGGCTCGAACAAAGATGTTCAGTGCTCCGTCTTGCCCGATGAGACTTAACCACTTTCAGCCTGTGATGTCAGACATGGTGGACAGAGTGCTTGATCGCTGTCACGTCACCACCTCCTCCCTTGACCCTTGCCTGGCCTGGCTAATCAAAGCAGACAGGCCTATAACATCAGAATGGGCTACAGCAATAATTAATGGGTTTCTCCAGGAGGGCAAGGCTCCCCTTGCTCTCAAGGAGACACTCATTAGACCCATTAGACCTGCTCTTTTGGCGGGGTGACTCTAAGAGCGAGGTTCACAGTTTGGGTATACATCTGGACCCAGCGCTCATCATGGAAACCCAGGTGGCATCGGTGGTCTGTTTTGCACACTTCCATCTTTGGCGGATTGTCCAGCTGCATCCCTATCTTGATGTGGGGTCTCTCACCACCTTGGCCCATGTGCTCGTGGTCTCGAGATTAGACTACTGTAATGCGCTCTACATGGGGCTGCCTTTGAGACCGATGCAGAGACTTCAGATGGTGCAGAATACGGCAGCCAGACTTCTTACAGGGGTGAAAAGGTATCACCGTATTTCCTCCACTCTGGCTGCCTTGCGTTGGCTGCCCATTCGTTTCCACGTTGATTTCAAAGTCCTAACAATGACATATAATGCCCTAAATGGTTTAGGACTTCAATATCTGGCAGAGTGCCTCCTCTCACCCAGTTCTGTCAGAATCACTCGTTCTAGCCAGGCCGGGTGGCTGAGGGGTCTAATGCTGAGGGAGGTCCGGAAGGAAAGAATATGCAGCCGGGCCTTCTCAGGGACTTGAACTATTTCCCCATTGAACTGGGAAACTGTCTGGGGCAGTTCAGCTTAGACAAAGACTGATTAAGTGGAGACATATAATAATGCCTGATGTGGTCAAAATAGATTGGGAGAAGCTTTTCTCCATTTCTCATAATAAGAGGAACCAGGATCATCCACTAAAGATTAGAAGATTCAGGTCTGCTGTTTGCAGCCACAAAAGAAAAATATGAGTCTGTCCTGCTCTAGCTTAGTACTTAATATTTTATCTGTGACTGAAATGATTGGACTTTTGGATACCGACTGGATAACTGTACAAGTCAGCTTAAAGTTACTTTTACAATCACATGGTAAAATGAGAAACTTTCAAAAAGGCACCTTAATACTGACTACAGTATGACGTATCCTGTTTTAAAGGCAGTCCATTTTGTTTGGTTGAAGAAACTAACCTAAATGGCTTTCTTTACTACTAGCAATTCTACGGACTCAGTCTGACTTATTTTCCGCCGGAAACAAGGCGCTGCCTGAAAGAAAGGACCAACTTTCTTGCATGTCTTCTCTTTGATTGGTTTTTGATCCTAGGTTGCTGAAATAAATGCATACAGTATATATGAAACTTCTTTTTTTCTTTGTAGACACATCCAACACAGACTGCATTCTTATCCAGCGTTGATCTTCATACGCATTGTTCTTATCAGCTCATGCTACCAGAGGCAATTGCGATTGTTTGTTCACCAAAACATAACGAGTGAGTTTTCTATCTTTCCAGTTCCTAGTAGCATTCAGATAGCTAGTTCAGATTTGTGTCTCTATTCACCATCAATGTCGAAACAGAAGAAGGGGAAAAGGTTAAACTACATGTATTGTTTATAGTGTAAAATCACAGACTTAATTACAGAGTGTACTTCTTCCCTTTATTGTTTATATTTGAACTTTGACCCTACTACATTCCGATCCATTTAAGAGTTTGATGTGGTTGATTCTCAGATTCTTTGGCACATATGCTCATTTTCAGGCCAAACTGTGGTCCCATTTGGAAAATACTAGCAGCTGCTGATCACACGGAGGATTTGATAAACCTAGTCCCAAGCTTTGGACAATCCATAGTGCAAAATTATCAGGTTATTCCTGGAAACAGGAAGGCTGTGGATATTTTGTATATACTTGTCCAGTCTTCACTCTTGCATGGGTCTGCATAAGCTGAATGTATTATTCGTTTATTTGACTTACATCCTGACTCTTGCCTCACCTTGAAGAGCTCAAGGTAAATAACAATAAAATCAAAATGTAAAAGTATGTAAAACTCCCTTATCCACAGGATCAATATCTGTTGATTCACTTGTTCAAAGTCTGAAAATATTCAAAATATTAAAAGAAAAATCCTAGAAATATGTATTTCTAATATGAATGTTGTGATGTTACCAGAACTGGTCACTAGAAGGAGCCAGAAACCATGCTATTTATAGTGTTTGCTATTAAAATGGCGTTCTCTATCAGCCATGCTTTCTAACATCTGCAGGGAGGCTTGAGATCGATCCCCCACATATATGGGGTCGTACTATACCATCAAAATATGAAACAGGTTGGCTAAAACACTGAAAAAAATTAAGAAGTGATTAAAATACACCAGTAAAAGTAACAGAGGCTGCAGCCACCATGATAAAATTCTGTTCTACATGAATCTAGCCTGTTTGCCCAAGGGCTGCCAGAATAAAAAAGTGTTAAACTGCAGGCAGAAGGAGAATGAGAAGAGGACCAGCTTTACCCTTCCTTGATAAGGAATCCCAGAGCCTTGAGGTGTACGCTTGGAAACATAACCTGTGTTGGAAAGGAATGGGCGGACTACAAATCTGGTGCTCTGTCTCTTTCAGTGTATAGCAGGATATGTAAAAGGAGTAGTCAGGATGAACTTATTTCAAACAATGAAGAAAAGTTTTGAATGTACAAAACTGCCTTGTGCTGCATCAGAGTAGTGGGGTGTGTAGCTGCATGGCCCAAGTAACTGGATGTGGTTTCCCCTGGGCCTTCAGGCAGATGTCCGTCCTGATCTTGTGACGTGAAGTCCTCTCCAGTCAATGGACCATTTGGGACCTATTTCATATAGCATACAAGTGCAAGTTACTTAGTTTGAGTGAGTGAATTTAGAAGGACATGGTTAATCAACAGAAATTATTTCTGACTGATTCATTCAAATCCTTCATTTCCCAAACTAGCATCTAGTTTGATACTATTTTACAAGAGTTTTTAAATGGTGTGGTTATGCAGTCAGAATTTGCCTTTGGTGTTTTTATTATTATTCCTCATAATATAGTCCAGGATGGGGAAATTTTTGGCTCTCCAGATACTTTGGATTGCAGTTTCCATAAATCCTTATCATTATTAGGCTTGCTGACTCAAGCTAACTTTGAAGAGCCAAAGGTATAACCCAATCTATGACGTATCAGTTGGAAGTAATGCAACCATGTCATAAAAGTGCCTTTTTTAAATCACAAGGACTGCAAGCTCTCCTTGTTGGTTGGTGAAGTACAGTGGTACCTCGCTAGACGACAACCTCACTGTACGACGAATCTGGAGGACGGTGACTTTTTGCAGTTGCTATAGCGATTTGCAAAACAGTCATTCCTATGAGGGAATTCCGCTTGACGACGATTTGGTCCGTGCTTCGTGGACCGTTTATTCGCAAGACAACGATCTTTACAGCTGATCGTCGGGTTCCTAAAATGGCTGCCCTGTGTTTTCCAGACCCATGCTTCGCAGAGCAGCCATTTTAACAGCCGATTGGCGCTCGGAAAATGGCTTCCCCTATGGGTGGTCTTCACTGGACGACGAGATTATTTCCCCATTGGAAAGCATTAAATGGGTTTTGATGAATTCCAATGGGGAATTGTTTTTCACATGATGACAGTTTCGCTTAACAGCAATTTTCCTGGAACAGATTATCTTCGTCACGCGGGGCACCACTGTAGTTCTGCCTCCTAGCATTATGCAGAGTTTAGAGGGTGAAACATTGTAGAAAGAATCTCGTACAGTAAAGTGGGTGGCTCTTAATCAGCTTTTCATACATAGGAAGCTACTTTAATTTCTGGGACATATTCTTTTCCCGTTACTATTACTGCATAGAATTGAGCTACCCTTGTTAAATATATATTAGGTTGTGCGGGTTTACTTAAAATATTTTTCTGGCAAACTTCATAAAGCTCCTTCTGCATCTCAGACTTGCATCTGTTTTTTCGCACACAACTAATTTATTTCTTGCTGCATTCTGCTGCTTTCTGTGATGTAAACTTTGCCTTACTTTCTAGCACGGGAGTCTTCCGACTTACTAACGCCGGCATGTTGGAAGTTTCTGCTTGTAAAAAGAAGGGCTTTCATCCTCATACCAAGGATCCTAGGCTATTTAATGTAAGAATAACACAATTTTCCATTTATTTGGCTGAGGATTTATATTCTAACACTTGAAAACACTTTCACAGTATAATTCTTTTACCTCACTGTAAGAATGTACAGTAACATTCCAAATAAGTGTGCAGAAGGTTGTTCTTCATGTCCTCACACCGGAGTTCTTCTGATGAGGAACTTGTTAGGTGGTGAAATTTAAAAGTCAGACTGATCCAAATGGCTGTTTAGCAGAATGTTCAGTGAATTTGTAAGGAAGGGAAGGGAAACCCATCCTGAAGATGAGAGGGGCAGCTAATGTTCACATGCTGGGTAGTGAACTTTCAGATGGGGCATACTAATTAGCAAACAGGAACAGAAAGTACATTTGTTCATCCTTTTCTCTTTTTTAAACAGTAAAGATAAAAGCCTCATCAGCCTTTCAGAATGAGGCCAGAATAATGCTGTGTTAAAGAATACCATACAAAGACACGGCCTTGAGTCCAGGGATGTTGTTCAGAGAAGAAAATATGGCTGCCGCCACAGAGGAAAAAGTCCTCAGGCTACCTTGGAACTGTATGTTTAGAAACTGTAACAAAAAAAGACCATTTGCTTTCCTCTGCAATCAGATTTGTACTATATGCCGTTGGAAACCGAAGTCTGCTAAAGGTCAAGACGGGTTCACTTAGGAAAACACTCATTTTGTGGAACAAAATACCATATTTTTCGCTCCATAAGACACACCTTTCCATAAGACGCACCATTTTTTTAGGAGAAGAAAACAGGAAAATATAATCTGTTTTCTTCGCTCCATAAGACGCACAGACTTTCCACCCCCCTGTTTTGTGGGGGGAAAGTGCGTCTTATGGTGCGAAAAATATGGTATGTTATTCTGGTTGAGGGTTGCTCATGATAAGGTGAATCCCCCTGAAATTTTGGGGTAAGGTGCCCCCCCATCCAGATCCGCAAACTGCTCCTGCTTCTGGTGGTTGAGGAATAGAAATAAGCATGAATTGCACAACTTTATATGTTCTACCCAGCTTGTCTCAGCTTAAAGCAAGGAAAAGGACGATGCATGGGTTGAAAATCTATTCTGTTACCTATTTTTGTTTTCTGCTGTTGGAAAGAGAAAGCTAAAGAAAAAACTCCCTAACATCATAGACACTAGCCAACCTCTTTCATAAGGCTTCAAAACACTGTAATTGGGCTTAATTCAACCAAGATTTCACATAGACTGAGGAACTACTGAGTAAAATTCTGTTGGCATAGTTAACATTGCTGGAGATAAGATCTAGGCACCATAAATAATTAAATTAACAAAAAAAAATCTTCTTCCTCCCCCCTTTCAGATCCTGTGGCTCCCTCGAGCACCAGGTACAAATTTTATTATTAAAGGCTTCCACATATATCCATGCCAAGGCACTGAAAGGCTTCCTCAGGGCAAAAGGGAGCTCTAGGGAGCCTCAGAAACTGAAACAGTAAGTGTGTGCGGAAATAGGGAGTTTTTAATTAATTTAAATTAATTATTTCTGATACCTGGATCGATTTTACACTGGCATAGCTATGTCAACAACATTTGCCCAGTGCCTCTCATTTGTTGGCTGGCATCTTCAGAGTGTGAAAGTGTGCTACTACTAGTGTGTTAATTGTAATCAAGTACACAGGGATGTGGTGGCGCTGTGGGTTAAACTGCAAAAGCCTCTGGGCTGCAAGGTTGAAGGACCAGCAGTTCGAATTCACGCAATGGAGAGCACTCCTGTCGTTTATCCCAGCTCCTGCCAACCTAGCAGTTCAAAGGCATGTAAAAATGCAAGTAGATAAATAGGTACGACCACAGTGGGAAGGTAACGGAGTCCCATGTCTAGTCACTCTGGCCACCTGACCACGGAAACTGTCTACGGACAAACACTGGCTCTATGGCTTGGAGACAGGGATGAGCCTAGAGTCAGACGCAACTGGACTAAATGTCAAGGGGAACCTTTACCTTTACCTTACACAGAATTAATTTGCTGACATTAATAAGGTAAGAAAAAAATCTATTGATTCATTTGTTAAATCATGACATGAAATAGCCAGCAATTAATGAAAATAATGGGAACCGTTGATTTAAAGATGACACGGTTTGTGTTTCATGGTTAAAATAACAAGTCTTAACTTTGTTGTTAAAATACTAATGAATGAGGAGTAACGCATTAGTTTTTGAATGAATTATTTCCAAATCCTGGTTTCCAGAAGAGGGCAGGGCAAGATTCGGAATGGAAAACACTGGTTTTTGAGTACCAGTTCAATCCCTTCCACACGGGCAGGGATATTCTCTAGAAAGCCAACAACCAGCTACCATCATTGATCGATTTTTAGAGTTGCTTTGTGTCTTATGGTGGAGTGAGTCCCTAGATAGTGATGTCTGATTTTTTTGTCTTCTTTTACAGATATGCAATCATGTCATTGGGAAGGATGTAAACATAACTGTATTGGACCTGAGGTGATAGCAGATGGAAAGAAACCCTTCCACAAAACAGATGCCCCAAGGAGACCATGGCTGCCAGATTTTTCCTACAGTGTTTTCCAAAAGTTATTGACATTTTATATTTATACATTTTAGATTTAATGGTTTGATATTTATTGCCCTTTCCCATTTTGAACTTATTTTGTTGTTCTGTCAAAATGAAGTTCACACTGGAGTTCAGTCAGGACGTGTTATTATACTGGAATACTATGAAAATAAAAGGAACTTGAAATGCTAAGGGTGGTGAAAATTTTGTCAAACGCCTGTCTTTTTGCTTTTTGTTTTGGTCTTAGATTGCAATTTTCTGGCTATATGAGTTTGTGTTAATGTTCACCAGATACTTAGAAACAGCTATTACATGGAGGTAGAAAATAAGGACTACAGCATTTCCTAAAGCATGCTTTTAATTTTTTTTTTATTTTAAAAGAAAAATCCTAATAATGATACGATAACCAATCACATTATTTAAAAAAATTAATTACAGTGGTGCCTCGCTTAACGATTCCCCTGCATTACAACAAATCCGCTTTACAACGCAATTGCGATCGCAAAATGATGGTCTAAATGCGGGAATTTTGCTTTGCGATGATAGGTTCCCTTATTTTGTTGTTCTGTCAAAATGAAGTTCACACTGGAGTTCAGTCAGGACGTGTTATTATACTGGAATACTATGAAAATAAAAGGAACTTGAAATGCTAAGGGTGGTGAAAATTTTGTCAAACGCCTGTCTTTTTGCTTTTTGTTTTGGTCTTACATTGCAATTTTCTGGCTATATGAGTTAGTGTTAATGTTCACCAGATACTTAGAAACAGCTATTACATGGAGGTAGAAAATAAGGACTACAGCATTTTCTAAAGCATGCAATTTTCCTGGAACAGATTATCGTCGTTAAGCGAGGCACCACTGTACCAAGAGAGGAATTGTCAAGATCACAGTGCATAGGGAAAAGGAGTTTTAAGTCTTCACTCCCAAGTGCTATATTGGTAAAAATGCGCTTGGCATGGCAGTCAGCATTAAGAAATACTTGTTATCATTACCAGTAGAAACTTCTACTAATATTAATTGCCATGTGGTGAGTGATTTTTATGTATATTGTGGCTCGTGAGAGCAAGCTGGTATGTATTCCTGAGGATCATAGTCTTTAATTTGTACCTGGCATCAAGCCCATAACTTGATTACTAAATGCAACATTAAAGTAACATAAATTATGATCTTGGATTATAATCTAGTAATCATGTTGTAGCCAAAACAAATGAATACTAGGTACAGATTAAGGACTGTTATCTCCTATTCTTGGCCTAAATCCAGTTGCTAATCCCAACTGGAGTAAACCAACTAAACAAATTGCTGAATGTTCATATTTATTGCAGCAACTGAATGGGGCTACATGTAGTTGGGACTAGCAGTTGGATTTGGGCTTTAATGTCTACAAGAGGAGCCTTGGCCCTGGGCTCATGGAAATAGAAAAGTCCCCCTTGGCATGCCAATGGAGAAGCGAGTTCCATTCTCCAGAAAGAAGGCAATATCCTGTTCAGTATTCTATGCTTATAACTGCAAGCAACGAAGCAGCTATAGCGATGTAGAGAGACTGAGTTGCATGCTTGGTCAGGGGGCTGCCAATATAGGTTGCTATGGGGCCAAGCAAGTGACTGAACCTCATCACCAGAGCCACTTCCACATTCGCAGTTACTGCAACAATAAATTGAACAGAATACTGGCCAGGCCATCATTAAATAGAACAGTTTTCCTCTATGCTTTCTCTGCCATGTGCCTCAAAGCTGAATTGTCACTTGGGCAAAGAAGGGAGGACAGGAATTGGACGCATCGAGTGGGTGGGGGCACAGATGGACTTTGTTTACAGACCCACAGAACCATTGATGCTTCCTCACTACCTCACCTGTAGTACCATCTTGGAGGTAGACAACAGTGATGAAGTCCTCAAGGAAACATACAGTATATCACAGAAGTGAGTACTCCCCCTTGCATTTCATGAATATTTTAGTGTATCTTTCCATGTGACAACACTGAAGAAATGACACTTGGCTACACTGTAAAGCAGTAAGTATACAGCTTGTATAACAGTGTGATGTCCCCTCAAAATAACACAACACACAGCCATTAATGTCTAAACGGCTGGCAACAAAAGTGAGTACACCCCTAAATGACAATGCCCAAATTGGGTACAAAGTGTCCATATTTTGTGTGGCCACCATTATTTTCCGGCACTGCCTTAACCCTCTTGGGCACAGAGTTCACCAGAGCTTCACAGGTTGCCACTGGAGTCCTCTTCCACTCCTCCATGATGACATCACATTGCTGGAGGATGTTAGAGACCTTGCGCACCTCCACCTTCCATTTCAGGATGCCCCACAGATGCTCAATAGGGTTTAGGCCTCGAGACATGCTTGGCCAGTCCAATACCTTTACCCTCAGCTTCTTTAGCAAGGCAGTGGTCATTTTGGAGGTGTGTTTGGGGTGGTTATCATGTTGGAATACTGCCCTGGAGCCCAGTCGCTGAAGGGAGGGGATTATGCTCTGCTTCAGTATGTCACAGCACATGTTGGCTTTCATGGTTCCCTCAATGAACTGTAGCTCCCCAGTCTGGCAGCACGCATGCAGCCGCAGACCATGACAGTCGCACAACCGTGCTTGACTGTAGGCATGACACACTTGTCTTTGTACTCCTCACCTGGTTGCTGTCACGCACACTTGACACCATCTGAACCAAATAAGTTTATCTTGGTCTCACCAGACCACAGGACATAGTTCCAGAAATCTGTGTCCTTAGTCTGCTTCTCTGCAGCAAACCGTATGCAGGCTTTCTTGTGCATCATCTTTAGAAGAGGCTTCCTTCTGGGACAACAGCCCAGAGACCAATTTGATGCAGTGTGCAGCGTATGGTCTGAGCACTGACAGGCTGACCCCCCACCCCTTCAACCTCTGCAGCAATGCTGGCATCACTCATACATCTGTTTCCCAAAGCCAGCCTCTGGATATGATGCTGAGAACGGGCACTTAACTTCTTTGGTTGACTATGGCGAGCATGTTCTGAGTGGAAACTGCCCTGTTAAACCACTGTATGGTCTTGGCCACCGTGCTGCAGCTCAGTTTCAGGGGTTTGGCAATCTTCTTATAGCCTAGGCCATCTTGATGTAGAGCAGCTATTCATTTTTCCAGATTCTCAGATAGTTCACGACCATGAAGTGCCATGTGTCATTGTTAGTCCCAGTTAGAAGAGACCCATTGACTCAATGAAACATACATAAGTGCTGACTTAACAAAGCCCATTAATTCATTAAGCCTGCTCTCACTGGAACTGACACTAGGAATTTAGTGCGAGAATTGAAACTACCTTCAAAATGCTTTGACTTGATGCTACTTTCTAGGAAGCTGAAAAAACTGCAAGAGTGTACTTGGTAAGATACCATCAATGACACTGGAGTGGCTGTTCTCTTATAGCTAGCTGCCAATGTCAGGTGAATGGTGGAATCAAGACAAAATGACATTCATGGCATCCATGTAAGTATTAACTGTGTCAGCACCACTGCAGCTGACAAACTATAGAGTCACTTCAGATCTGATGGTAGGACAGGAGCCACCATCTGCTTCTTTAAACACATGTTTTGTGCCTAAGATGACATTGTAGTAATAATAGAAGGTAGAAGAGTTGGGGATGAATAACCTTTTTGTTTGTTATAAAAGCTTGTCCTTTTCAGTATTCCCTTCCATGTATACCTACTGTGGCACTTGCCCTTATTGTCTGTTGCCTTCTCTTGCCTAAAGTGACTTCATCATGCATTGAAAAACTTCAGCTGTTGGCAGTGGTGAGGGTATCCCATGAAATGTTTTCAATCACGATTAACACATTTGCATGTGCTGAGTTATCAGTGTTTCCCTGGGATTAACTCTACCACTCATTGTCACTGCAACCCGATTATTAATTCCATTTTTAGTTGAAAGTGTGCGCTTGTTCTCAGGTAGGTTGCATATGGCTGCAGATTCAAGAATGTTACTGGGGTCAGGAGAGGCAGAAAACTAAGGATTAAACTGCGTGTGTCTTTTCCAAAAATATTTGAACACAACTTTTTAAAACTGCTTTTGATATGAAATTTGAACTATTTTAGCAGAACCACATCTTTCGTGGTCACACAAAGCAAGATGACAGGGGCCATCCCATCCCGCCTGATGATTCTCTCTGTAGTTCTGGAATCCATCCTTAGCTATGAATGTCCATCCAAGTATCAGGGACGTAAAACTTCGCTGATTTTGTTCTTGCAGGTAAGAATGAAATATTATAAAAATTTCCTGTGCAAGACCACAAGGGGTTTAGTGTATTTTTCACATTACAGTATGTTTGCAAAAGTCCCCCCCCCCTTTTTTATATACTTATTTATTTTGGCTATAGTGCTCATACACCAAGAACAGGCTTATCTTTGCCTCTCATGCAAGAACAAAAAAATCTTAGACCTTGACCATGTTTTCACTGAGGATGAGAAAATTTGCAAGCATTTGTTACATCTTTACCAAATACTGGAAGTAGCATAAATCAGTGTCATTTGTCTTAAATTTGCTCCGGCTTTTGTCAAAAGAACATAAGAAGAACAGCCTACAGAAGCATAAACCCAGCAACCTATATCGAATTAGGATATGAACATCTGTTCTCATTTGTTTGTCAGTATTACACCAGCATTTCTATTCTGTCCTGGTTCCATAGCAGATTATAAAATATGTAACTGCCTGAGGCAAATAATGTTCCACTCTATAAACAGTCATGGGATGCCAAAATACATATTTTCTTATGCAAATACAAATCCAATAAATTTCTTTTTCATTTCCAGCAGTGACCAGTTAAGTTCTTCTGAAAGACCTACAAATGGGTTGAAAGCAAAAACACTTCCCAGGTGTCCCCCCCCTCCCCCAAATTTGTATTCCAGGATAGTCATTCTGATAATAGAAACTCTGTTAAGGTATCCTGGACTGCAGTTACACATCTAGGGCTTGGAAAATTTATTTATTTGGCTTCCCAGTATCCCTCAGCCAGCATGGCTGCTGGTCACAGTAGCAGCAGAATTCTGGAAGTTGTTGTCCAAAAATGTAACTTTCCCAAGTTCTAGCTAGACTTGTCTTCCATGAATGTGTCATGTAAACATTGACTGCTATAGTGTTTATCTCATGTGTCAGCTTATTCTGGTTCAAAAGAAAACAATTTCCATTTTCTGTAATTAGAGTAAGAAAAACTGGAGGTGTTTTATTAATAAAATTATGAGCACCTAACGTTTTTTTAGTGTGTTTGAAGTTTATTCCCTCCCCCCCACCCCAAAACACATTGCAAAATTACATATAACTCTTAACTGGAAATAGCTGGAGACATCGTTATTCGGAATTGAATCATACAGAGGTTACTATTCCTATATACGTTCACAGTAATGTGCTCAAGGAAGGAAGGAAGGAAGGAGGAAGGAAGGAAGATAGGATGGAAGATAGGATGGAAGGAAGGAAGGAGAGCTAAAGGGGCAACCAAGTTAGAAGCATTTACGATGAACAATGGACGGGCCAGCCTCATCGTATTCCTGTTTGCTGATCCACATCTGCTGGAAGGTGGAAAGAGAGGCAAGGATAGAGCCCCCGATCCAAACTGAGTACTTGCGCTCAGGAGGAGCAATAATCTGTATGGGAAGAAAGAGAAATGAAGAACACTTGAAATCCCACAGGTGTCTTATATATCGTGACTTGCACATTAATTTTTCAGTGTGCTGCCTACCACTGCTCCAAAATTGGCAAACAGAGAATTTGTATCAGCTCATCCAACACAGGCAGGTGAAGCTGCTCCTCAGATCTTTCTTCACATCTAAAGGTGATCTTAGGCAATAGACTTGTCTAGTAGGGAGCTCACATATGTAAATTATTTTTGACAGAGAAAAATCAGGGCTTGTTTCTTTCGCCAAGATCGGTTCTCCTCCACCTTAGGGCCCCAGATGTTCTTAGACTAGAACTCCCAGAAGCCTTCACCACCAGCTGTGCTGGCCAGGATTTCTGAGAGTCACAGGCCAAGAACATCTGGGACCCAAGGCTGGGAACCACTGACCTAGAGCAATCAACCTTCTTGCAAAAGCAGTATTACTGTATGTGGTGTGACTTACCTTTTGCCTTGTATCTAAAGCAGTTGAATTTTTAAGCAGATTTTCTGTAAAACTGCACGGGGGTGCTATTGCCATAAGCTTAACCATGATAGTAAAGGAAACTATCTGATGACATTTTGTTTCCCAAACAAAGCAAAAGTGGTAGTGAAATCTTTAGTCTAAATTCCACCTGGGGTGGAATATGTACCCTGTTCCAACATCTAGGATTATTCTGACAGGAACCCCATAAGTTAACAACGTTACTTCCTGTAATGTCTCTTTTTCTCCACAGGGAACCGAGATGAAGAATGTACATTCATTTCACTTAAAAGAACATTTTAATTTGAAAGAGGCTCACCTGTATAGATTTAATAAATCCAAATTTAGAATTAATCAAAGTCAAGTAATTCCCAATTATTATTTTTTTCTCTTTCGGCTTTATTTTCATTTAGGTTTACAGTACTTGCTTAAATTCAAATGCTTTGCATTTATTTGCTAGTGTTCTTTTCGCAGATTTTCACTGGGGCAAAAAAACCTGCACTGAAAGTGACTAGTGGGGACTGAAAAGAAAGCTGCTCATTTGACATTAAAGATTTGGGCAGGATCAGGGTCTTGCCCACAGAGTAGGTCCCCACCAGCGGTTTCCATAACAAATTGGGGGGAAAACCTCAATCTCAACTAACAGAACAAGAATTAAAAGTTGTGTTCCTTTTTAAAAGAAATTACCAAAAATAATTTTGTATCAAAATGAACAGATTTTCCCCAGGGCTGTTCTCTAGAGTTACACGGTCTAATTATTTCTTTGCCATACAAAAAGGCAGAAATAGCCACACTGGCCATAAAAAAATTCCAAACTACATATTGCAGTAGAGCTTGGAAAAGTTACATTTTTGGACTAAAGATCTCAGAATCCCTCATTTCTGAGGAGAAGGAGATAAGGTTAATGAGAGCAATTGTCCAGAAAAATCATTTTTCCAAGTTAATTGGCTAACTAGAAAAACTTACACAAGCTTTCAAGATCTTTAGATTTCAGCAGAAACCTTAGCAAACACTTGTACCCCTTTTTGTGCCTGTTCCTGGTTGCCCTAATAAAAGATCTACTCACTCTACGAATCTTGTTTGTTTGATGTGCTTTTGCCAGCTTTCTGCATCAAAGGGTTCTATTACATAACTCTTTTTGACATGACCTTCATAGCAATACAATACAATAACTGCCCAATCAGCTGAAACCCCCTCACTTGGCCTTCTTTGCCCCTGTGAACCAGATAAAGACCAACCTTGATTTTCATAGTGCTGGGTGCCAGGGCAGTGATCTCCTTCTGCATACGATCTGCAATGCCAGGGTACATTGTGGTTCCCCCAGACAGGACATTGTTTGCATAAAGGTCCTTTCTGATGTCGATGTCACACTTCATGATGCTATTGTAGGTGGTTTCATGAATGCCAGCCGATTCCATGCCTGTGATGGTTTCAGCAAGTATTTATTTAAACATTCTTAAACCTTTTTAAGAATCCCCACCTTTTTGAGCTGAGTCCGTTAAGACATGTGATGGGCAAACATTAAGATCATTCCATCATAATAAATATCAAACAACTTAGAGAGACCAAAAAGCAATAGGTAATTTAATATGGAAACAACAAGAGCAATGCCACAAAAAGTCAAATTGCAAAGGCTGTTCAAAATGTGTGAGAATAAAAGTTGTTGATAGGTGGTAATGTTTAGCAAGTGCTCGACAGATATGCCTGGAGAGGACATTCTAGAGTCTGACCCACGGGACCAAGAAGAGCTGGTAGAGACCTTTCCTTCCACTGAGGATAGGGCCACCTAAAATATTACTTGTACACATTACGTTAAGACCTGGGTGGGATGTTAGAATGAACAGTAGTGAAATAGCTTTTGGTTAGATAAGGTGAAGAGGAATTGTTATTCAAAGTCCTGCTTGTTCCTTGCCTTCCTCCAAAGGATGTCTGGGGCAGTGCACAATGTAATAAAAATCACAACAATCTGATACACAATTGAAGTCATCATTCAACAACCCAGTTTTTTTAGGGTGCATATTGGAAGGAAATGACTTTGCTGAAGGAAGACTAGAGAGATTCCTTAACAATTTTCAGCTTAGCTTCCAGCAGGCTAAAAACTCCTTATATGGTTATTTAAATTACTTGTCTTTGGGAACATTGTGAATCCCCTTTGAGTTTGACTTCTCAAAACATATCTTCTAATCCGTAGGTATGTGGTTCTTTGGACCATTTCCCTGGCAAAGTAAGCTGCTGCACAACACACACACACACACACACACACACACACACACACACACACGCACACGCACACACACACACACACACACACACACACATTGATTCTTCTTTAAGCAACCAATCCAGAACATTGTTGCTGAGAATAACATTTGTTTTGCCTAAAGCATTAAGTGTGCCCTCATTTATGTTCTTTGTGGAAGTTTGTCAGGGAATCAGGAACATTCATGTGCACAACGTAATAAAAATCACACTTGATGGCAATCCAGAGTTCTGTGTAAAAAGTCCCTCATTACTTTGAGCATGTTAACAAATCAAAAAATGAAGTGAATCAAGGAACACTTGCTCAAGATTTCTTTATTCTTTTCAGTCTACAGCAGAACTGGGGGGAGGGCAAAACTTCAGATTTTTGGACTCCAGCTTTCAGAAACCCTAACTATGGGACATGCCAGCTGCAAACTGAAATACAGAATTGGAACTGGAAGCCAAGAATAACCAGAAACCTACATTTTGCCCCTGGCCTAGAGGAGGGGAACTTGTGGCCTTACAGAAGTTTTACTAGTATTGCCATAACCCTGGATCATTGGCCATTGTAGCTGGGGCTGATGGGAGTTGAAATCCATCACCTAGAGGTCACACCTCTGCTCCAGAGTAAGAACTAACTTGGTGTTCTGCTTTGGCACTGGCGGACAAATTTTTATGTTGAAACATAAAATATAATTGTCCAGGAGAGTATATGTATCATCTTACCAATGAAAGAAGGTTGGAAGAGGGTCTCTGGGCATCGGAAACGTTCATTTCCAATTGTGATCACCTGACCATCAGGTAGCTCATAGCTTTTTTCTAGAGACGATGAAGAAGCAGCTGTGGCCATTTCATTTTCAAAATCCAGAGCAACATAGCAAAGTTTCTCCTTGATATCACGGACAATTTCACGTTCAGCTGTAGATGGGATTGAAAACAGAGAGCTAAGCATGACTCTACTTTTTAAAAAAACAAATACACAATATCTTTTTGCTGTTTGTATTCTAACTCCATAGTTTTATATAGTATCACAGACTACTTAAGTTTACAATTTTAAAAAGTTCAAACTTTTTTTATATTTATACTTACTGAAGAGGATTTGGGGGATTTAAAGATTGCAATATGGAAGTTTCTAAATATATATATGTCTCTTTTATAGATATATAAGAGACATCTGTTCCCCTTGTGAGCCTAAAAATGTGCTGAAGGTGTAAAATACAGTGGTGCCTCGCTAGACGATTGCCTCGTGGGACGAAAAACCCACAAGACATTTGATTTTTGCAATAACTGTGGTGCCTTGCAAGATGTTTTTTTCTACGACCGATGCTTCGCAAGACTTTTTTTAGACCGATGCTTCACAAGACTTTTTTTTGGAGACTGATGCATAGGGAACCTCGCAAGACATTTTTTCACAAGATGACGATTTTTGTGGAACGAATTAAAATTGTCTTGCAAGGTACCACTGTAGTTTAGATGGTTCCTGAATACATATATCAGGGATTGGATATTCTTGCTATGTTTGTGTTATTTCAGCAACTGGGAAATCTTTTTAAAAACCACAAAAAAAAAAACAAAACAGATTTATGGTGTATATTCTATTGCAACCAAGTAAATGTAATACTAAGAGTTAAACCCATTTTTTAGTCCCAGCTAAAGGAGACCAATGGAATTAGCAGGATTTATCTCAAATGTTGGATTAAAAAGTCCCACTCATTCACTCAACAGCTCCACTGTAAGTGGAACTAACAACTGGATTTAGCCTTAAATTTTTAAGTATTTGAAAACTAAAACACTTTTAGTTGAGATCCTGTGTTGTATTTTTAGTTTTTAAATACTTAAAAATTTAAGGCTAAATCCAATTGTTAGTCCCAGCTAGAGTGCAGCTGTGGCATACTATAAATGATTTAAACAAATAAACACATTCTCCTTCAATTTAAAATATTTCAGAATTCAAATGAGCAGCATTTGTTCATATTCTATTCTCTGAAAAAACAGAATAATTCATTCTCTTTATTGCACTGAAGCAGTCTTCCTCATTCAGATCCATTTATTGGATTGAAATCTGCATACAAGATTCATCCCTTAGAGCAGTGGTGTCAAACTGTGGCCCTCCAGATGTTCTTGGACTTCAACTCCCAGAAATCCTGGCCAGCAGAGGTGGTGCTGAAGGCTTCTGGGAGCTGTAGGCTAAGAACATCTGGAGGGCCACAGTTTGACACCACCGCCTTAGAGGAATACACAGAACTGGAAACTAAGAATGAACTTGAGAACTTCCTGAAATATGGAATGCAGAAATGCATATGGAAAGGATACTTCAAAAGCATAAAAGTATGATGATAATTGTACTAAATACACTGTCACTAGAGCAATATGGCAGCCAAATGACTGCCAAGCTCCTCAATAAGTAACAAACTAAGAAAATTAGATTATGGAATAGAGTGATTTCCTTACCAGTTGTAACAAATGAGTATCCCCGTTCCGTCAGGATTTTCATGAGGTAGTCAGTAAGATCACGGCCAGCCAAGTCCAAGCGCATGATGGCATGAGGCAGAGCATAGCCTTCGTAGATGGGTACATTGTGGGTGACACCATCCCCAGAGTCAAGCACAATCCCTTGAGACAAAATAAAACAAGGAAGCGGCACTTGGCCTCAACTAAAGCTGTTTTTCTTTTCTTTCTTCATTTTCAGAAGTTTCAAAACCAATGTGACTTGCTTACCTGTTGTACGTCCAGAGGCATAGAGGGAAAGAACAGCTTGAATAGCAACATACATGGCTGGAACATTGAAAGTCTCAAACATAATCTGAAAAACAATGAAAAAAAATTACAAATAAAACTAGGGATGTATTGGATTGATGATGCAATGTTGTCAGTAACTTCATGCAAGAGACAAACCAGTGGGAACGCAGAGGGGCGTGTATTATTTATCACTAGTCACACACACTTCAAGGAGTCCCCCCAATCCTTGTAATCTGGAAGTGGAGAACCTTGGTCTTCCAGCTATTTGGACTTCAGCTCCTAAAATCCTAGTCAACATGGCCAACACCATTATAGGGATTATACTCCCAGACATCTGAAGGTCAAGAGTTCTGCATTCCATGCTAATCAACGGACTTCAAGCGAGAATGAGCCATGACTGGCATGATCTGTGATTGCTAGAACTCCCCCAACAAGCATCAGTGAATTGGAACTGGGTTTTAACTTATCTCACCCTTGCCCACAAAGTTGAGGAACCTTAGAATTGCTTCCATTGTCTTGCAAAAAGGTAGGTGTTTTTCAGCCTTTTCAAAAAGCAATGAGAACAAGTACTGTGTTTGCACAAATTGCATAATTTGTTATGAACGATATCAAATAACCCAAATACTACTTTAGTGCCAATAATGCACATAGTACAAAGTAAGTCTGGCTGCTATTCACTTTTCATCTTTTAAGGATTTATAAGCATCAGAGGGGCTATTTGCATTTTTTAAAAAGATTTAGCCCATTCAGCCAATCCTTTTGCTCTTGTTGTGTGTTCCCTGTTTTGCTTCTCAAAGGGAAAAGGCACCAGTTCTGCATAGGTTTATGTAAATGATGGAGGCTTTAATGTTAAATATATATCAGCCCTTATCTCATTTTCATATGAAGGCAGGGAATTTTATGGGCTTGAAAATTATTGATCAAGGTGCCTTGTTGAGTAAAGACAGCCAAAACTGACAAGGAAAAAACTTATTTATTTAAATCCCTAGCCTTGATCATCTGTAGCTAAAGGTGAGTGTACAGGAGCCCCTAGATATATATTTCTCACTTAAACTGTGAATTCCCTGGATTCCTTAGGATGGGACCCTGACAGTTAAAGTGGCATTAAAGCACCAGAACTAGGGCATGGTTCACAATAAAAATGGAAGCATCCTATTACCTGTGTCATTTTCTCTCTGTTTGCTTTGGGATTCAAAGGAGCCTCTGTCAGCAGAGTTGGATGCTCTTCAGGGGCAACGCGTAGTTCATTGTAGAAAGAATGATGCCAAATCTGTAGTAAAAAGGAAAAAAGGATTGTTACTGTGGTTGTAATAAATCCCACCACAAACACCACAGGGTGGCAACAAAATCCTACATCACTCCACCTTGACAGTATTTTGAAAGCTGCAGTAGCTGCTACAGAACATGGAGGAGTGCTGGAAAATGTCAACATTTTATTATAATGAAAAGTAGACTATCTGTTTAATGTAATTTGAGCCTAAGTCCCAACTGGGGTCTTAATGGTCTCATTGAGTCACTTAACTTCATTCTCATGTAGAAAGCGTAGGTTTCTCATGAAAAAAAGGAAACACGGGCAAAGTATATATATAACAAATGTCAGGGTCTTTTCATACCTCTCAATGTAGTGCCTGTTCCACACAGGAAAATATAGTGGCAATATTACTACCTGAGGATTTCACCACTTCAGACAGACATTTGTGGAACCCTCTTTAGAGAACCTTCAGAACTTACGGCTCCCACCAACCCTTGCCATAATAACCAAAGATGAAGGACAATGGAAATGTCAATCCTACAACATTTAGAAGGTCACACATTCCTCATTTATTCTCTAAGGTGCTGAGGCAGAGAATGGTGAAACAAATAAAACTGCACAAAAAAGCCTAAGGATTGTGCCTTTTCTAAATTACCTAGCAATCAATAGCTGATGCCAGTATTATTGTCTCCTATGCTGACCTCCTTTGTTTGCAACAGGTAACAAGTATGATTTCTGTTCATATTATAAAGTGGCCTGTGCTATACCAGCAGTATAAGTCTACCTTGGGGGAGAGTGACAGAGTTTGTTTGTCTAGCTGCTTGAGTGGCTGCAGTATTTAATCACAACTGCATGGAACTGTTCTTAATTGTTCTGTCCATCTGTCAAAGGAGACTTCAAGGATGGAGAGCAAGGTTGTCAGGTATGGTACAGAAACAGTCACCATCAAAGGAGACTTCAAGGATGGAGAGCAAGAAACAGTCACCAGTATGTAGTGGTGTGACAGAAACCACACTATGCCAAGTAAATGAAATGAAAGCTTCTTGTTGTCCAGAGTTACTGTTCATGCCTTCTTAAATTGTTTCCATAAATTTCACTATCATAGTGCACATCCTGCACACCAGGGCGGGGAGACTTCTTTGAGTACAGTGGTGCCTTGCTTAACAGCGATAATCTGTTCCAGGAAAATCGCTGTTAAGCGAAAACATCATAAAGCAAAATTAAAAACCCCGTTGAAACGCATTGAAAACCATTCAATGCATTCCAATGGGGTAAAAACTCACCGTCCAGCAAAGATCCTCCATACGGCGGCCATTTTCAGAGCCTGTATAGCGAGGAATCCGTCCCTAAGCACAGCGGGGAGCCATTTTAAGCACCCAGTGGCCATTTTGAAAATCTGACGATCAGCTGTTTTTGATCATCATAAAGCGAAAATTGGCTCCCAAAGCAGTGAACGATCATTTGCTAAGCGAAATTCCCCCATTTAGACCATCGTTTTGCGATCGCAATTTCGATCGCAAAAACATTGTTGTAAAGCGGATTCATCGTAATGCAGGGCAATCATTAAGCGGGGCACGACTGTAGTTACTTCAAACTCTCAAACAACTGTATTTTCACTTCCACTGAGCAAGCCCATTCATTAGCAGATGTTGGAAGAATTAGAGGAATTTGTAAGTAAGTATTATGAAATAATCGATATGAACAATCCAAACTGATTCTCCCTCCCTCCCTCCCCCCTCTCTTTTACACACACGCATGATATGCATCATTTTAAACTATGAGGTTATTCTGGTAGAAAATATTTATTTATTTAAAGCATTTTAAGTCCACCTTTCTCCTTAAAAAGGACCCAAGGTGGCTTACATCATTAAAAGACAATATTTAAAAGCTAAAAAGAGTAAGTATAGCAATATTGAGAAAGAATCAAACAAGTACCACACTAAAAATGGCAAGAAAAATCAACACCCAAACCAGATTCAAAGCAACAAGGCACAACACTCCATTTAAAAGCCCCTCTCAGATACTGCATTTTGAGTGCCCAGAAAAATCCCTGCAGCAGAAGACATGCCAACTGTACTCAAGAAATTATAATGTGCACTCCCAGTGCAAAAAAAAGGAAAAGAAAAGTCTGTTTAGGCTTGCCATTAATTTGGTACAATATCCCGACTACCTTTGCATCTGCAATTAAAATACCTTCTCCATATCATCCCAGTTTGTGATGATTCCGTGTTCAATGGGATATTTTAGTGTCAGGATTCCTCGCTTGCTTTGAGCTTCGTCACCAACATAGCTGTCTTTCTGACCCATGCCCACCATCACACCCTGAAAAGCATATATGAAAGGGGAAAAAATAATGACCTCAGGCTCATAAGCAATGTACATTTAAAAAAAGCAAGTGAGACAGTACATAGTTCTACAATCGGAGAGCCTTCCCACTGGAAAGTGTGCAAAAGGCTTGGAAGTGTCCGATTTTTTTATGCAGATCAGTGCCAGCTCCTGAGGGTACGCAGCTCCTGAATACAAAGAGATGCTCAGGCTGAACCTGGGACTTCCTGCAATACAAAGAGATGCTCAGGCTGAACCTGGGGCTTCCTGCAAGTAAAGGATCTGCCATTAATTCATCAACTATATTTGGTATATCAGATACAAATTATTTAACGTTATGAACAATCGGAGAGACACAAAGTGCCGTGTAGTGGACAGAGTGGCAGACTAGGGCTTGGGAGACTTGGGTTCAGATTCCTGCTCAGCCATGGCAACCACCGCTTGAGTAACTTGCTGCTTGCATTTGCATGCTTTCGAACCGCTAGGTTGGGGGGGGGGCTGGGACAAGCAATGGGCACTCACTCCGTTGCGTGGATTCGATCTTACGACTGCTTGGTCTTCTGACCCTGCAGCACAGGCTTCTGCGGTTTAGCCCGCAGCGCCACTAATTCATCAACTATATTTGGTGTATCAGATACAAACTATTTAACGTTATGAACAATCGGAGAGACACAAAGTGCCGTGTAGTGGACAGAGTGGCAGACTAGGGCTTGGGAGACTTGGGTTCAGATTCCTGCTCAGCCATGGCAAGCACAGCTTGAGTAACTTGCTTACCTCGAAAGCCCTATTAGGGTTGCTATAGGACTGTCTGACGTGACAGGACATAACATTTTAGGACAAAGATGAGCAAAGTCCCGAAATCTGGAGGCCATACCCTGCACCAAAATGGAGGGATATTTGGGGGGTGGGGCAGAAGTTATGGATCCTTTTTTAAAAAACTTTCAAGAAGGACAGAGGGGAACGGTTTTCATGCCAGTCAGTCTAAGTCATTGGTTGTTCCCTATGTGCCAGGCAGTGCTTTAACTGCTGGAGGATTCATTCATTCACCTGGTGCCGGGGACGTCCCACGATGGAAGGAAAAACAGCTCTGGGAGCATCATCCCCAGCAAAGCCAGCCTTGCAAAGCCCTGAGCCATTGTCACAAACCAGTGCAGTGCTGTCCTCTTCCTCACACATCTTCCTAGGGTGACTTCCTCAGACCTTCGACACAGCTGCAGTCCTAGAAAGAGAGCATGGAAGATCCACTGCAATGGGATGAAATATTTTCAGAAGGTAAAATGGCTGAAAAGAAGAACTGGCTTCATATAGTTTTTTTCTTCTTCTTTGCCGTCATGGTGTTACCAGAAAGGAGAAAGGCTCTTTCTATCTTCTTCGTCCAGCCCTCTCTACTGTCCTGACATCCTGATCCATGATCCCCATAATGACTTAAAGCAGAGCTGGGGAACATGAGGTTCTACCAAGTATTGTTGGACTACAACTCCCATCAATTCCAATGGCAAGAAATGATGGGGGTTGTGGCCACATGTTCCAACTGGCTATACTGGCTGCAGGACTCAGTAGTACTGAAACTGCCAGCTCTCCAAAACAGTATAAGCTAGAAACACAACATTTTGCACATCCTATAATTTTTTGATTTAAATAACAGGATGGATTACATCTCGGCTAGTGTGGGATTCTAGGGGTTGTGGTCCCTAGACATTACCTACAAGATTATGGGGGGAAAGGCAAGCATTAGGAGCATGAATTTTTGCACAAATACGTCCAATTTTCTTACTTAAATACTCAACAACTTTGTATCTTAGATGGTGGGGGACCCTGAGAGTTGCTCTCCAATGAAAGGAAACTTCTATCTTGTGCATACTTGGCCAAATGTTCGAGTGGATGAAGAAAAATGTTGAGGTGGGATAAACAGAAGGTTCGGGTGCTGAGGTTGGGGTGTGGGGGAGGAGAAAGATGAAGCAGTCAGAATGGGGATGAAACTGCGTAGTGGGCTTCTAATCCTGTTATAAGATGAATGCCAGGGGGGCAAAAAGGGACATCAGTAAGAAACAAAGAATTTGGGGGCATGAGATAACCTGGGGTGATGGTGGAATTTGTGGGTTTTTAACCTGGGTAAATCCAGGTCCGTTGGATAATTACAACTATCAATGTCACACAGTTCTTGAATGCCTGTTGAGGCCTTTCACAACCTTTACATGCAGACTGTGCTACTTAGCTATTGAAAACTATTCTAAAATCTCTACAATGAATTGCTGCTTAACTAAGGTCAAGCTGTGTGTATGTTATTTGGTGCCCATCAAGCCAAGCCAACAAAGAAGAATTCACATACCATCACTAATATGATGTCAATCCTTTGCTTGAACTAACAATAGTTCCCCAAATCCACCCTGCCTAGCCTCTCTCTTCCCGGAATAGGCTAGAGTCAGTTCTGTTCAATGCATTTGCCCCTTGATCTTGAAGTTCTCACTAAGCGTTTCTCAGGGCTGAACCAAATCATTTTGCAGCCATGGCAAGTGTAAGATTTCTATTACACTCATTTAGAATGTGACTTTGGAAGGCATTAATTGTCCTTGAGGGCAATCTATGCAATGGTCAAATGTGACTGATCGTGTGCAGAAGAAGTAGCCTTCTTCCCACTTGCCTCACTCAGCCCTTGGTGTTATAATGAAGCACAGGCAAAATTGCTGGGAAGCATGACTCAGCAAACATAGGGTTAAGGGTACTAGTTAAGATAAACCTTATAGAGATGGTGAAACATGTGTTGTAACAGTACCTATATCTCATATTTCCAACAGTATAGAGTGGACGCTCAACTTACAGATGGCTCCACTTACAGACTTTTCGAGTTAAAGATTCCTCTGGCTGCAAAATTTAGGTTCGACTTGCAGCCAGAGAATCGACCTACAGACCGGGAAAAAAACCCAAAATGGAACAAAAATGGGCGGTTATGGATTAATCGGTTTTCAATGCATTGTAGGTCGATGGAGTGTCAACCTACAGACTTTTCGACCTGCAGCCACCATTCCAATACAGATTAATTCTGTAAATCGAGGGTCCACTGTAGCACCCAGCAGGCAGGATCTTGGGGACAGATGCTGAATTTACATTGATCCATCGGGATGTCTAACATGATTCCCTCCCTCTCACCAAGCACCATGTTCCCCAGTTTGTCAAGTTAGCATAGCTATCTGAAAGTGGGGGCCTGGAACCGATCATATCTGCCTCCCCATCCATGCCAGGTAAGATCTGTCAGAAATGGGTCAGGTCTTTTTTGTTCTCCAAAAAGACCCTGAATCTCTCCTAAATGGTACCTGGTCCTTACTCATGTTGCAAGGGACGTTCTGGAGCTTCAGAATTTTTTTTTAATGGGATGGGATGATGGTGATTTGGGTATGGAGCAACTCTCTGCAGTTCCACTGTCATAAACAGATCAATACCTGGTTTAGTATCACCAGAACTCAAAGAGTCTCAGTGTGGGCATGGGGTGTAAATAAGGCAGTTTGCCCCAGGATACTGATGAGCATGAATGCTTTTACTGTGGCTCTTGGGAAGTTTTTATCGAAGCCCTGATTGACACCTGGAATGGGGAACTGACCAGGGCAGTGGAAAGAATCGCTCTAGAATGCACTCCATGGAATTCATTCTAGCCAAACTAAGTTTAGAATTCCCTGGAAAACGGTGATGAAATGAGTAAGACTAGAGTGATGTTGGCAGAAAAACTGGAGCACATCTGATTGAACATGGAGTAGAGCTTATCAAAAGGTCTGTTCTCTACCACCATTGATATGTGCACAGAGTTGTCCAGCATAGCTGTGTTTCATGTAATCAAGGGCCTATTACCCTCTGGCTCACAAGACGAGAATGCAGACCACTTGGCATCCCAATGTGATAATTTATGTGACACTCTACAGACAACATTGCTCAGCTCTGCTGCAACCTGGATGCTGATGCTGACTCAGGTCCTGCGGATGCCGCTTTAGCCCCTACTTGTCCAGTGCTAGTAAATACAGGATTCACTACAACCTAACAATGTGGGCAGGATCCCTGGAGTGGTGAGTGCCCTCATATGTGTGTTGGAACCTGGACGCTGATGCTGACTCAGGTCCTGCGGATGCCACTTTAGCCCCTACTTGTTTAGTGCTAGTAAATACAGGTTTCACTACAACCTAACAATGTGGAGAGGTGAGTGCATTCATTATGTGTGTTGGAACCTGGAACTTAGCTCATAACACTAAGGAGACTGGCCGTGGAGGGAAGGGGAATGGCGAGTATCTCCTTACAGTAGAGAAAATTCTGAGCAAGCCTAAAGGATGCAGTAGTAGGGCTGCTGCTTAAAAAAGGCCCTCCTTGAATCCCACCGAATTAATCAATGACCAGCCCGTCTCCAGTGTTCCATTCCTGAGCAAGGCAGTGGTTTCTAGCTTCAAGTGTTTCTAGGTAAAAGGGATAATCTAGATCCGTTTCAATCTGGCTTCAGGCCTGCTACGGGATGGCAATGGTTTTGGACACCTTGGTGTAGAGGTCCTACACAAGGAACTGTATGAGGCGAGTGTGGCCTTGTTGGTTGTGCTGGAGGTCTTAGCAGCTTTCAGTGCCATTGACCATGGTATTCATCTGGGCCATCTGTCTGAAATGGGACTTGGATGCTCTGTTTTGCAGAGGTTCCAGTCGTTCCTGAAGGGGCAAACTCAGAAAGTGGAGGGCTCAGGTTTCTGTTCTATATCCCACACAGGTTGATATACACACTGGGAGAGGTTTCCCAGTGATTTGGGGTTTGTTATCACACCTGCTGAGCAGGGCTGCTGAGGACAGGACATTTTGGCGATCACTGTTTCATAGGGTCATCTAACACTTGGCGATGACATCTATTCAGCAAGATTTGGGAGACTACATGTCCCCCATCTCTAGTTTAATGCCTTTTCTTCCATTGAGCAACTGAATTTGAAATGCATGGGATTCCAAGGGATCTTCCCATCCCGCCCTAGATGTGCTTGGGTTCAGCAAAATGCCTCTGCTATTAACCTTCCACATAAAGGTAAGTTGCAGCTCAGAAATTTGATCTAACAACCACTGCTCAATGGCATTGATTTGTGATCTGGCCATTAAAGTGTATTTACTTTGGATGAGAGAAAAGACACCCATCCAAGTAAATATACTTTAATCACCAGATCACAAACCAAGCACCTCCTCAAGCAGGAGATAATAAATACTTAAATCTATACTTACATAAGAAGCATTTAAAAGGGAATTCTCTCCTCACAAACAGAGAAAATGTGTGCTTAACATCAAGCTCAGTCTCCCTGATAAATGCAATTTTAACATAGCTATGTTTTGTCATACATCTACTTTGTGCTCAGAATTTCCTAAGTGAACATATCTTTGTTGTGTGCCCTTCCATTAAGTCACATTTCCGTGCAGGCTACTGGCTGGATGAAGCTGGACAATGGATATTTGTTGTAGTTCGTCTGAAATTGGGGAATAAACCTTCATTTTTTAAAAAAATTCATTACACAGAAAAGAATAAAAACCCTTACTTTTTTTTTTTTTGGTCTTCCTTTCACTGGGAAAAGAAAAGACTTAGAAGCAGATATTAAAAGGGGATCTAGGATATTTAGGCTTAAGCTTTTACTCAAAGGCACAGAAATATTACCTAACGTGAGTGACTCTAGCCTGTTTAGAACAAATCATTTCCTAATTAGGAAGAAAAGTCTTTCAAAAGTCTGTTTTTGGAACAGAGATGAAGAGGTCAAGCGCTTCCCCCCCTCCCCTCAAACTTAAATTAACTGAGCCAGAAATCTTGGAAGGGGGGGAAGAGGGGGAGGAGAGGATGTGGTATTTCTGCCTGAACATGGTGAACTCTAAATGAAAGCCATATTTAGTAACCAGTGAAATTTCAGAATTTCTGGGAAGCCCAGCCTTTAAGACAGGTTTTCTGATGGCAGCCAAGCAGTGATTTAAAGCCCCAGGATGCTCTGGAGTGCCAAGATGATGATCTGCAGTACCTAATTAAACTCAGAACATGGCAATAAACTTGTAATGTGCAATCTTGTGAGTGATTAAAGTATGCCATTAACTGTTCATCATTTTGCTACTGGGCAGAGCTACAATAGTCCCAGTGCAAGAGTTCCACATTATATAAAAACAAAACCAAGTGTCAGCCAAAACAGACTGTAGCAAGCATGCCTTATCATGATAACATCATAATTATTATTATAGTGTTATACAATATTATACTAATATTGTAATCAATATTAACATAATTATCAACATTATTAATATGACAATTACAGTACCTTTTATTTTACCCCATTTTTCAGCTAGACAAGTTCCCATTGCATCTATATAATTCATGCAAAAATCTACTGAGGCTGCAATTTGAAATTACCCTTGAAAGGAAGGAAGGAAGGAAGGAAGGAAGGAAGGAAGGAAGGAGAATCCAATAGTTCCAGTTATAGTAAACCGATTTAATTATTGGCACTGTCAGAAACGTTGACTTACGAATTGTTTCAATGGGTCTACTCCAGCTGGAATTAATGATCTAGCCCTTAACTTCACTAACAATCCAACATTAGCACTTCTGAAGTGATCAACACTATGGAATGTTTTTCTTTGAGGAGGTCTCTCCCAATCCAAAATGCAAGTCAGTTTGAGCTTATACTGGAAGGGGATTTTGAAAGGACACTTACAAATGAGATCCCAGGCTTTTCTTTCTCTGTCTCTCACACACAAACATTAAAAAGTAGTAGGAAAAAGTACTTGCAACTAGAGGACTTTCCCAATCACTTCAAGGGAGGCAGTTTTATCATTGATAGCAGCATTCTCTCATACAAACCAAGGGGATGATTTGACAGGGAACTGAGATGTAATGGACTATATTGCTCGTAGTATATTACAAAGGGTGGTCTTCTCCAATTGAGCATCTCCAAAACCACACACAAGAAACCAATGCCAGTTTAGTGATGAAGACACTCTGCTGTCAACACTGTAGCCTACAAGACACCCCTTGCCTCACTTCAAACACTGGTGCATTCAGTCCATCTTGCTCATATACATCCAATGCCCCCTCGCCTCTCCGTTTAGAAGTGGAACCACCACTGAATTTCAACTCAAAGGAGGGAAAAGGAAAGAAGTTTGCCATGATCAGAACTAGCCCTTGAGTGTCAGAGGAAGGGTTTAGCATGACACAGGACTACCCACAAACCCAAGTGCACCCTTTTAAACCACAGCCATTACATTTTTGCTGCATTTACTCTGTATAATTAATTTTACTCTAGGCAGTTGATGTCTGAACTTCATTGAGTGAAGACAGACTGAAGTCATGTCCTGAGCTTGGAAACATTGGTTTAAGCATGTGTTTGTTTATAGCAGTTTCCAGAATCCCTCCTTTCAGCCATGGACTTTGCTGGCTAGGGATTCAGGGAGCTGAAGACAAACGAGTAATGTTTTCAGGCTCTAGTTATCTCTAATTAATTTTTGCTAGACATTGTTTCCAAGTGGTAGTAATAAGCAGCAGAAGTATCAATCTATTATTATTCATCCAGCAACATGAATATAGGTAACAACATTGTATAACCACCAATATTTCTGCTCCAAAGAGATTCCATTGCTCCTCTTGCTCTAAATTTCAGCACATTACTAAAATCAAATGTACCTCCCATCTCCATGGCAAAGCATCAAGGTGGCAAAATATAAAATTTGTTTACAGCCTTAGACCTTAAGCCAATGGTCTTAGGAGCTCCAGGGTGGGTTTGAAATGAACCTATCAGAAGCCTCTGTTGGGTGAGAAATTCTTTTCCAGCTACACAGTGTAGAAGGAAATGCCTGCACAACTGAAACCGACAGCATCTAAAGAGAGAAAGTGCACACTGGAAGCAAAAAAACTGCAATGCAATCATTGAAGGAATAACTCAGCCCAGCAAAGATGCCTTTCAGTGGCACTGAACCAGGAGCAGAAGAGGTACAACACTGATAGGAAGGCACAGACAAGTTGTAGAAAATCTTGGCCCAAAGTGAGACAGCATATAGACTTTACAGCCATTTCCTCTTGACAGTTTGAATAGGAAATACAATGATCAGGTAACAAAACAAACTCAGTATCAAAACAAAATTAACTTCTCAAGTCTCACTGATTTCAATAGCAGTGCTTAAATCCTCCCACCATAATCCATGAGAGTTAAAAGGTCTTGCCTGGGTCATGCCAAACAACTGAAGCATGTCCCACTGTATCCAAAGGCTTCTTGCACCTTTCCATGCTTATTTGGGAGTAAGCCCTACACAGTCTAATGGGACTTATTTCCATACCAGTGACGGTAGGGTTACAACTAAGACTTCGCATCCCACAGAAGTAAACAGCAAATGCCAATTGAGTGTAATGGTTTGGGCAATGCGTATACTCATACATTGCGGGATGAGATTTCTGATGCTTGTTCAAAGCTGCAAGGAAGCTGTTATCATAAGAGATGAGGCAAATCTCCAATTTTCTCTCTCACTTTGAGTTCAGTGCCACTTACCCTGCTGTGAGTGCTTTGGCTGGGGGGAGCTGCTCTGGGCTGGTGCAGTGGGAAACAAGACACTCTCTGGTTATATAGCTCCTTGCCCTGTACCCCTCCCACTAGCTTCCCAAACAAGGAGCAGTCCTGGGCTGCGTCTCTGTGTCTCTGTCAAACAGAACCATATAGGGGCTTTTGCACAAAAACCTCTCTGATCTGGGTGGCCACAAGCTCTGAGTTCCTCTTCCACTCTGCATTCCATTCAGCAGTTCGCAAAAAGGCAGGAGGAGGTTTCCAACTATCTGTCAGATAAACATGGCTAAAAATTCAGGATATCTGCTGAAGAACTACTGGAGTAGCCCACAAGTGACAGGCAGCCCCTGGCTTTAATGAGTCACCCCACACCCTACTTATTACCTATGTAGCAGCTGTCTGTGTGGATGTGGAGGGGGGTTGCCCCGGGCTGCTACTTCCTGACAGGCAAATATCCTGCAGAATTCCCATGTGCCTCAGCAATTAAAAGGATTCTTTTTCAACCCAACACAGCCCAAGTTCCATCAGTAAGGAAGCCGAATGCCACATTCACGAGAGACATTTCAAGCAGCTAAACTATAGTTTAGAAATTTACAACAGATTTCTAACACAGTGGTAACAGAGACTGCATGCCTTTGAAAAAAGAACCCTTAAAAAAAGAATCATCAACATAATTCTAACAAAGATATACAACAAATAACATGCATCTAGAAATGGAGAAGAAACTCTTATAGTTTCATAAAGTTTAGCTCTATAAATCTAGATTTAGCAGTATCCTGTGCATGTCTATCCAGAAGGGAGCCCCAGAGATTGCTCCCATTTATAAGATTGCAGCATAGCTTGGGATCACAACCACCTACATCCCAGATCTTCGTTATCTGCTTTCAAGCCATCTCAGATTTACGGCAACTCTGTGACTGACTGACTTCCAGAATGTACTATCAATAACATTCTTACCCAGTTGTTTTGAACTCAGACTTCTGTCTTCCTTTTGGGACTCAATCCATCTCATATTTTGTCTTCCTCTTGTCCAGCTGCCTTCAACATTTCCCAACATTATTGTCTTTTCCAGAGAATCCTGCCTTCTCATGAGGTGTCTACAGTCTCAGTTGCATCATTTTTTGTCTCCAGAAATAGTTCAGGCTTGATTTTCTCTAGGACATACTTGCTCATCTTTCTGGCAGGCCAGGGTAACTAAAAAGCTCTTCTCCGGTACCGTATTTCAAACAAATTGGAACTCTAGATGACTGACAGTCAATTGAAACTATGTAATAAATACAATGAAAAATGCAATTAAACTAAGCTACAATATTAAAACCCAATCTTTAAAAGCACTTAAAAACATACCATCTGGATTCAGAAAGTACACATCCCATAATGTTCCTAGTTATCCAAGTTAATTAATAGCCTGCCTAAAATGGAAGCCTCTGTCTGGCAGTGAAAGGATGACTGGAAGGGTCCAATCTGGGTTCTTGGGGAGTATATTCCACTGGCTGGAAGCCGTCAAGGTGAGAAGAACACAGAGAATGAGAAGTTCTGTAAGAATTCATCACATCCCTAAACTAGACATCACATGATGTCAAGGTTATGCAAAATCCTTACAAAGCTAGGTGGGTAAAGAGTTAAAGCTCATTATGAACAGGGGAGAATTCAATCGTTCCTCTGTTCAGGTTTCTTCTGCTTTTCTTAATTCTGTAAGGGAAGAGAATACTTCCCGCTACTGATCCCCACTAGAAACAATGGCCCGAGAAGACACAAACAGGGAGACTGCAGAAGGGTTCATATATTGCCCTTTAAACATGCCTTCTGGTCGTGCAGGAAATTGCATTGAGCCTCTTCTAATAGGATATCTCCTCTTCCAGTTAAGTTAATCTGAGACCTAGAATGTTCACTTCACTATCTTCATATCCAGGACCAGCCCTGCTCTTAGTGAGACTAAGAGGCTGACTACATGGGTTTTTAACCCGCTGTTTGGTCCACCACAGGGTCAGGCCAGTTTTCTCCTACAGACAGTGATTGGACAACATCTTTGCTGGAGCAAACCGTCCTATCACACAGCAGCCCTGCCTAAAGCTGCTGCACAATCTAAGCTATTTGCTGTAATATTAAGAATTGTTGTGTTGTCTGCTTTTCTGAGAAGCAAGGCTAAAGAGAGGCTCATTGAGCTTTAAGACAAAATAGTACTTTTCTGGTGGAAAATGCAAAGCTTGCAGTGGTTGGGAAAACCCAAGCAGGGAGGGGTTCTTTTGCTGCAATACGAAATGGTGCAAAGGAGCCTCACGACTAAAAATAAATAATCTTTTAGTCCACCACTCTGAAACGAAAAGGAATTTACATTTATGGTTAACACTGCAGCGATTGGTTGTAAGCATACAGGCATTAGGCCAAACTGATTTTCCAGTCTAAAGAAATACTTGGACTATTTGGTGTAAAAAGTCAGTTCTACTTTGTGCAACTGAATTGTGTTATAAAGTGTTGTGGTGGTTTGCTTGTTTTTTGTGGGTTTTCTTTTTGAGAAGCAAAGAAGTTTAATAGACCACGCAACACAGATTCAGTTTAGTTTTTATCCAGTAGAAGAGTGGTAAGGATATTTGATTGGATCCACCCATCGTCTTGCTCCAAAAGGGACCAAATAAGGATAACATAGTTTTTCATGGTTTCTCGCTTGCACTGAGTTCAGAGGGACTAAAGGCTGGCCCAAGACATTCACCTGCTAAATCTGCTGCCTGAGGCACAGGACTCACTTTTTCTTACAGTAGGGCTGACGTTGAGGGTACCATGGTCAGTGGCCTCAGATTCACAAGCTGGGACTGAAGCTGTGTAACCTTGAGATCAACACACCTTAATGGCCTTCAACCTGGTCAGGCATTATGATTCATGTCGAGAATCCTATGATGGGATGGTTCATATTTTTGCCCCCACTGCTAATGCTTCCCTCACTCATATCCATTCACAAAGGAAGCTCTGAAGCAGGGAGCCCACACAAACACAAACACACACACACACACACACACACACACACACACACACACACACATTTTGTGCAACTGGGGTTCCAAATCACATGGGAAACTTGTTCCTGTAGAGCAGCGGAGAGAGAGAGAGAGAGAGAGAGACATTTTGTGCAATCCAAATCACATGGGAAGCTTGTTCCTGTAGAGCAGCTAATCTCTCCTCTCTTGATACCAGGGCTGTAACTAAGGCAGGGCAAGTGGGTCTTTGCCCCAGGGTGTCATTCTTTAAGGGGCTGCTGAAATCTAAAGGACAATCTGTTGTTGACTATTAGGAAAATAAATGGCAACATTTCCCACCAGCATTCACTTCCCTATAAAAATATTTTCTCTTTTTTGAAGGGGGGGTGTTCCACCACATTTTCCTCCTCCTTTTACTTGTGGTGTGTGTGTGCTGATGGGGTACCACACATGGCACCACTCACTTTGGGTCCCAAAACTATTAGATGCAGCTCTGTCCAATATATCAGCAATAGGTGGGGACAGCCAGCAAGAAATGCAGTGATGGGACCAGGAATCATGACCTTCTCTGTCTCAACACGATAGGAAAGATCTTCTTTTCTGTTTGTTTAACAATGTTTAACATGGGTTAAAAAGCACCTTGTCCATCTTAACATGTTACTTGTCACTTCTTATTTTTTTAAACGTCTCAGTACAATGGCTATCATTAATGAAGTAGTTTTCAGTTAATATTTAACTATTGTTTATATTATTATATATAAAAAACTATAGAAACCATAGTTAATATATATATGTGTGTGTGTGTATAAAATACATATATCTACAGTTTATATATACACACGCACATATATATTAACTACATATAGTTTTATATATATATATAATATAGTTAACTATTATGAATATATACACACACATACACAAAATCATTTTAAAAAACAATATTTTAAGAGTAATGATGGGTAAACCTTACATATTATGCCCCAGAAAAAAATACATTAAGAGTCATTGCTGCCTTTAAAAAATAATGATATCTATAGTATTGATACCCAAGAAATAAGATGTTATATCAAAGCTCTGGGTCTTTCGAGAGTATTCCCTGGGCAGGTTGTAGATCAGCAGGTTTGATTGCTTTCCCATGTCTACACATGCTACCCTGTTTTCCTGAAAATAAGACCTAACCTGAAAATTAGCCCTAGTATGATTTTTTAGGATGCTCGTAATAGAATCCCTACCCCAAAAATAAGCCCCAGTTAAGTGAAACCCTACGCTCCACCATGGTGCAGCAACCAGAAGATGACATGACTGTATTTGAATAAATGTAGATTGTTGTACAGGAAAAAAAATTAAATTTCCTCTGAAAATGAGCCCTAATGCATTTTTGGAGCAAAAATTAATATAAGACCCTGTCTTATTTTTGGGGAAACACAGT